ATACACAAAGGAAAAATAGATGCAACAGTTGCATGCCAGCTGAGCTACCAGCAACGGATAAGCATCGTTCCGGTAAGTTTCCAGCCAGCTAATATGAAAAAAAAACAAAATTAAATTAAGCTTTACCCTAGGAAATGAGATCGTCGATGGAGGGGGAGACTAAAAGGGATGGGGAGGGACAAAGAAACTCATAGCACAAACGCCACTGAGGTCGGCTCCTTGCCATGTCAGCAAGTGTATCCAGCCAAACGTGTTCGCCGTTTTTTGGACTCCAACCAGGGAGCCGTGAAGCTCCAACCGAGGCCAGCTCAGAAGTGAGGGACTTCATTCCTCTGGAACAATCATCGCTTGGCCACCTCTCCTCTTCTTCAACCCACATACCTGGTGAGCAAACAACGCACGTCGAGGGAGTCGGTGGGTTGGCATGCGTAACACGTGGCCGAGTCATCGGAGCCTGGTGCGGGAATTAACGGTGTTGAGCCGTTCAGATCCTTTTCCTGGGCCGTTAACAATGCGTCGAACACGTTCGTTACTCTCGCGGTGTTCCCACCAGATGTGAGCCAAACTGCGAAGGCACCGATGGTCGAAGAATAGAGAAAACATCTCATGCCTTTGCTATACGGTTCGTGACCTCATCTTACATTCCATAAGTTGATACAGTTAAATTTCCGAGAGACTAGCTGATCCCCACCAAGAGTCCGTGCATTGGACGATGACCGCCATCTCTGGAAGGAAGCTTGTAGTTGGAGGATGCGAAGCACAATCGCAAACGGTTGACAACTAATGCTAATCTGTCCGGCGCTGCTTAGCACTTTTGTGAGCTGTCACAGATTACGGCAATGTCACCGGCATAATTTGCGTCAATAAATCGACAATCTATGAACAGTTCCACACCTTCCTACTCATGTCCGGAGTGTGCAGTTTCAATAAGCTCGCCAATGACAAAGTACGGGAGAAAAAGTTACGGCGGGCATTTTTGTCCTGCAGCGCTGGAGAAAATGAAGAGCTACCACAGCCTGCCATAAACCATCGTTCTGTCCAGGATACGCGTTCAAAGTGATTGTGCAATATTTATGTATTTCTAGTAGTACTAAGAAGGCATCCCCAAAGAGCACATCAATCCACCGAAATGAAGACAGCTTATGTGTCGAGGAACACGGCTAAGTGGGCCGCCAACATATGCAGAGGTGCTCCAACAATTGAAGTAAACCGCAAATGTGGCTAACACAGCTCCGACTTCTATGAAGTCGGCTTTCATGGGCGTCAGTTAACCAAGGAATAATTACAGAAGCAAGTAACTTTGGGGGAACTGTGACTAAACTGGTACTGCAATGGTCACCGCATTCCGAACGTGAGATCTCATTGGAGAGAGGAACAATAATGGAGTTGCCTCACTTTATTGGGTGAGTATCCTACTCCCAACTTCAATACTATATCGTGTAAATCACCTGCAAGAATAGGTTCCCGAATTTGAAGTGGTCTGGTGCAAAGCCATCTGGTCCTGCAGTGTTATGCAGTTTGATCTTAACTACGATTACTGCGTCAGAAAGCGTATTCAAAGGAACGGCCCAATGAGTAAAGCGATCACTAGCCGACGAGAAAACGGATAATTCTGCTTGACTGGATTGCATTTAAGTGTTCAGTTCAACGATACAAATGTTTGACAGATGGCAGACCGACTGTCGCCACTCGTCGCATTTAGTCCCGCTAACGCCAGGTCTCCTGCTGTTCATTTCTAGTATTATATGGAATAAATTCCGGTGATTATAAAAAACAGGAGCCATCTCCATCATCTGTGCACGACAAGACAAGCAAGATCCGCGGTTTCTCTTCAGGCTAGCATACAGTCTCACTCTGAAATCCTTGCGAATCTCATTGCATTAGCTTCCAGCCGGCAAACATCAGTGAGCATCTATAAGACACAGAGATTGTGTAGAGACCTAATATCCAGGCTGGCAACTTGATCTGCCATATGAAGACATGCCTGCTGTTACTAACGTCCGTCACATATCTCAGAGGAAGTAGTTGGTGCACTAGCATTTGGAGACCTGAGTCAACTGAACAGTGTACCTGCTATTTACTCGATACATGGTTGGCGGCATCCGGTTTCGGATTTGCCTGTCACTGTGGCAAGCCACAGGACGCCTGCGCCTACAGAGGGACCATGGATGGCTTGCGCTGCACCACCCATAGTTCCATCCACACACCCCATATCCAGTGTAAACCCGAAGGAATAAGACCGGGAGGCATGCGGATGGGAACCACGTTTCATCAACGGAGCCGGCCCACACTTCTTCACAGGCATACACAAGCACACTGTATTTGAGAATCAAGCGCACACAAGGCGGTGGCTGGACCGTAGCCCGTTCCACACTGACTGCATGGAACCACTCTTCGAGCCTAACACGGCCACAAGGACCGTGCACCCCGTCCCCTCCAGCAACGACCAACTGTCTCCTGGAGCCAGTATGGACGAGGTAGTGGGTAATAGACAGGTAGGCACCTTGTCAACATGCACGTCAAGCGCATCCACACCGGGGATATCAAACAACAGCCAAACACTTGAGAGAGAGAGAAAGAAAAAGAGAAAAACTCGATTAATGCATAAGGAAACGGTGATATAAACCTTAAGTAAATAGCATATGTAATAAGTTGTTTACAAACAAATCCTAGCTAAGTGCACGAGGTCAGGAAATATAGTTCACGGAATGCCACGAACACAAATATGCTACGGAAATCGAATACAATTGGCTGAAGCGATGTGTGCAAGTTAATGGAATAGAGTACTGGTAGACATTTATATGAGAAAGAAAAGCATTAAGGCACAAACTGTAAACCCACCACCTGAAATAAGGAGACTTAGCATGCAAGCACGCGGTTAGTAAATCGAATTCAGCGTGCCTACAAACGCTGCGCCGGCTCGCCGTAAATCTCTGCAGGACCCGTCGTCGCTCCTGTAGTGGCTCCAAAGTACCTAGCTCATGGCCCACTAGACATTTATATGAAAGGCATTAGGACAGAACCGAAAACCCACCACCTGAAATAAAGAGACTTAGCATGCAAGCATGCGGTTAGTAAATCGAATTCAGCGTGCCTACAAACGCTGCGCCGGTGCTGCCTACGTTCACTGCGGGACCCGTCGTCGCTTCGGCAGTGGTCCCGAGTGACCTCTCTCATGGCTCACTAGGCCTGCCTGACTAGGGCACTCGCGACCGCATGTTCTACAGCACCATGCGCTCGATGTCAATGGAGTACAATTCATTGGTGCTTGCCGCTTCTTCTCTGCATGCATGAGGGCTTTCTCCCGCACTTCAGCAACTGCCTTCGTAATTAGATCGCGCCATGCACCACGATCAACCTCCTTCGATTCCCATGATCTGCAATCAAGATTAGAACGTGTGAGGCTCACTTTAATCATGTCCTGGTAACGTAACTTTGGTTTCCCAGCACGCCGCTTCCCTATACTCAGCTGACCGTATAAAAGTTGCTTCGGTATCCGCGTCGAATCCATACGGCTCACATGACCGAGCCATCTCAGGTGTCGCAGTAAAAGTATGCCGTCCACTGCATACATCCCAATTCGGCGCAACATTTCCGTGTCTGCAACTCTGGCGCCCCAACCGATCCGTAAAATTCGTCGCAGACACTGCTGATGAAACCGCTCGAGATATCGCACATCCCGCCGGTACATCGTCCACGTTTCCCTGCCGTATAGAAGAACGGACAGTACCATGGATTTGTACATCATCAGCTTCGTGCCAATGCTAAGCTGATGGTTGTTCCACACTCGGTACTCAAGCTTCCCGAATGCCGCTGCCGCCTTCGACACGCGATTACGCAACTCAACGTGTAGCTGCTGATCAGTCGATATCACACTCCCAAGGTAGCTGAAAGCGGGAGGTGGTTTCCAATACTTCAGCACCAATGCTGATTCGCGGCAATATTGAAGATTGCACCTCCGGTGAAGGCTGAAAGAGACAGACAGTTTTGCTTGTGTTGGTGGTGAGCCCGAATTTGGCCGCTGTCGAAGCCAGAGCACTAGTCATGTGCTGCAACTCATCCGCGCTGTGTGAAAACAACGCACAGTCGTCAGCAAACAGCAACCTACGGATAGTTGTCTCACAGACTAGAGTTCTCGCACCGAAACGACGGATGTTCAGCAACCCACCATCAATACGGTGCTCCACACGAACACCGTAAGCAAAAGCCGCATCAAAAGCACAAGACAACATTGCATGAAGATATATATTAAACAGGGCAGGAGCTAAAACACAGCCTTGCTTCACACCAGAGACAACTGCAAAGTCATCCGACGTCTCTCCACTCAGCTGCACCCTCGCTCGCATACCACTGTGCAGACATTCAAT